CTCAGTGCTCCCCTACCCCTTCCCAGTGCTCCCCACCCCTTCCCAGTGCACCCCACCCCTTCCAAGTGCTCCCCACCTTGTCAGTGCTCCCCACCTTGTTAGTGCTCCCTACCCTTTCCCAGTGCACCCCACCCCTTCCCAGTGCTCCCCACCCCTCCGTGGGTGCTGGGTCAGCTTCCATCCCAATCCTCCCCTCTGAAGCAGGACCATATCTTTCTACCCCAGATGCCCCCCACAACCTCACCATCAGCATCGTCAGCAATGTCACAGGTAGGAAAGAACTGTCCCCTTGGGGGCTGGGACCTGGCCTTGGATGGGGGGGGGGGCGGCTTCCACCATGTGGAATGGGGATGGTAGCTGGAATGGGACCAGATAAGGGAAGAGCACGGATAAAGATCACCACCCTCCCCCACCCTCCCTCCTCCACCTTGCCTGGGGGCAAAAGTGGCTGCTCAGGCACACTCTGTTCACCTCTACGGGGCGCTGCTGTGGTTTTCCTCCTCCCCTCCCGCCCCAGCCTCCTCCATCCTGTTTCCTGCCGAGTTCACTGACCGAGGCCACCAAACAGTCCAGGCGTGTCCCAGGGGGGGCACCGAGCCCTCTCTGAAGATGTGAAGCCCGGACACTTGAGGTCAACCTCTTTTGGGCATAAAGCCCAGCCTTTGAGCCCTGTTGGACCCAAGTCAGTGGGCCAGGGAAGGCGAGGGAGATGCCAACCAGATCCTGGGACGGAGGGAGACGTGGAGACTGCCGGTCTCCAGCGGCTGTCTCAATGTCTCTCTCTCCTCTCTCTACATCTCTCCCCCAAAGCCCTCAGCATTCTGGAAAACACCTCATCCGTTCTCATCTGGGAGGGCCAAGCTTTGCGGCTGCTCTGTGCTGCTGCCAGCAACCCCCCCGCCGAGCTGAGCTGGTTCCGGGGGTCCCCTGCCCTGAATGCCACCCCCATGTACAGGACCCACATCCTGGAACTGCCTCAAGTCGGGGCTGCGGAGGAAGGAGTCCTCACCTGCCGAGCTCAGAACTCGCTGGGCTCCCAGCACGTCTCCCTGCGTCTCTCTGTGGTCTGTGAGTGTGGGGACCCCGGGGGGGGGGGGGGGGGGGGGGCGGGACACCCGGGGCCTGGGGAGCAGAGGCGCCGCTGACCCTGCCCCTCCCCCACCCTGCAGGCCCCCCGCGGCTGCTCGGCCCCTCCTGCTCCTGGCAGGGCGAGGCGCTGCGCTGCACCTGCTCCGCCCGAGCCCGGCCGGCCCCCACCCTGCGTTGGCGGCTGGGGGAGGGGCTGCTGGAGGGGAACCACAGCGACGCCTCCTTGACCGTCACCTCCAGCTCCGAGGGGCCCTGGGCCAACAGCTCCCTGAGCCTCAGGAGGCCGCTGGGTTCCGACCTCAGACTCGGCTGCGAGGCCCGGAATGAGCACGGGGCCCAGAGCACCGCCGCGGTCCTGGTGTTGCTGCCAGGTCTGGGGCTGTGGGGGAAGGGTGGGCAGAGCCGGGGGCGGGGTAGGGGTGGGGGTAGGGGTGGGGGAGGAGTCTGCATCCTGGAGAAGATGGTCTGGGTAGGCGTGGGGCGGAGGGCGATTGGTGGGACAGGGTGGTCCATCTTGGGCCTCAGCAGGCCCTTCAGTGAGTTCTGCAAGGAGCTAGGAAGGCAAGAGACTGAGTCCTGCAATTCGGTCTCCCTCTCTCCGCAGGGAAGTCGCTGTCCCTGGCAGAAGCTGCGACTGCAGCTGTGGGAGGCGCCGGAGCCATGGCTCTGCTGTGCCTGTGTCTGTGTCTCCTCGTCTTCTGGGTGTAAGTCTGTGCGGGGAGGTCCCTCATCCCAGAAGTACAGGGCTGAGTAGGGCAGCTCGAGAGAAGAAATGCACTCCTTCGTTTTCATCCTGTGCCCATCCTCCCCCAGTCCTAGGGGACCACCAGTCTATTTTCCATCTCTCTAGATTTGCCTCTTCTGGACTTAAACAAAAATGTTAACGTTTATTTGTTATTGAGAAACAGAGAGAGACCGAACATGAGCAGGGGGAGAGCAGAGAGAGGGGGAGACACAGACTCCGAAGCAGGCTCCGGGCTCTGAGCTGTCGGCACAGAGCCCGATGCAGGCTTCGGACTCACCAACCGCGAGATCACGACCTGAGCTTAACCGACAGAGCCACCCAGGTGCCCCGGCGTGTACAAGTTTTTCTGTGTTAGACGGATCTTTCGTGATGGAAGTTCAGTCTGGCCAAACCTCTGGTCACCCAGGGGGATGGAGTGCTTCCTGGCCTGTCTGGTTCCAGACCGGATACCTCAGCGGATTGGCCGGGGAGCAGACAGCCTGCCCACGGGAGCCTTCGTGGCTGCAGTGTGCTGCTTTCTCCTTTTAGGGTGAAAGCCCGCAGGAAGCAAGCGTCTAGGAGTCAAGAGGGCATGGCTAATGAAGACCCTGTCATGGGTACAGTCGACTGGGTGAGTGATGCCGGGGTCTTCTCGTGCAGTGGGGGGGCTCTGGACCTGTCCATTGGGACTCCACACGGAGCTCCTCAGCATTTCCCCGCCCCTGCCCCAGCCTGGTCACCTGAGCAGTCACCTGGGAGGTGACTTCCCTACTCCACTCTTCCCTACTTCCCTTCCAGCCCTTCTGGAGTTTCCATGATGCTTGTTCCCAGTGCTTTGAGAATCAAGTCACATTCCTTGTCCCATGTTTTTTGTTTTTTTTTTTTCCAACGTTTATTTATTTTTGGGACAGAGAGAGACAGAGCATGAACGGGGGAGGGGCAGAGAGAGAGGGAGACACAGAATCGGAAACAGGCTCCAGGCTCTGAGCCATCAGCCCAGAGCCCGACGCGGGGCTCGAACTCACGGACCGCGAGATCGTGACCTGGCTGAAGTCGGACGCTCAACCGACTGCGCCACCCAGGCGCCCCACCTTAATCTTCTTTAAAATAGTGTCTTGGCTATACCTGGACGTTTGCTGTTCTATTAAATATTAGAATCGGTTTATCAAGTTCCAAAAAACACTCCTGTTAGTGTTTTGGCTGGAATGACATTGCATCTGTAGATCAACTTGGGAAGAATATACTTCTTTATAAACTCAAGTCTCCTTGTCCACAAAAACAGGTTATCTATTAGTTTAAGGTTTTTTTCCCCAAGAAAGATGTAGAAATCCTTCAACACATCTTGCGAACCTTTTGTCAGTTTTCTTCCTTAATACTAGTTTTGTTATTGTTATAAATGCCATCTTTTTAAAAGTGCATTTTCTGATCACTTATCGCTGATATGCGGAATGAAAACATTTAAAAAAAATTACAGATTGGTCTTAGATGTCATTTAGAGTCTTGCTGGTTTGGTAGCTGGAGCATTCTTAGATATGATTCATAAGCCTGCTGAACCATTCTTTTACAGAGATATGGGTACTGTCTGAAAAGTTTGTGATTTTTTTAAAAAATTTTTTTAACGTTTATTTATTTTTGAGACAGAGAGAGACAAAGCATGAACGGGGGAGGGTCAGAGAGAGGGAGACACAGAATCTGAAACAGGCTCCCGGCTCTGACACTATATTTGATGCAAATATAGTGTCATTTCCTTCAAAAATCAACTCATCCTTTTAGACTTTAGATACAGAAGAAGAAACGCCTGATCTCATGCATTCTCTGCGGATGTATTTTTCTTCTAAGAGATTTCTTTTTTTTTTAACTTGAGAGAGAGAGAGAGCGCACACGCACAAGTGAGGGAGAGAGAGAGAGAAGTGAGGGAGAGGGGGAGAGAGAGAGAGAATCTTTCTTTTTTCATGTTTATTTATTTTGAGAGAGAACACGCAACAGCATGAGTGGGGGAAGGTCAGAGAGAGAAAGAGAGAGAGAGAGAGAGAGAGAGAGAGAGAGAGAATCCCAAGCAGGCTCTGCATGTCCGTGCAGAACCCGATGTGGGGCTCCATCCCGTGAACGGTGAGATCATGACCTGAGCTGAAATCAAGAGTTGGACGCTTAACCGACTGAGCCACCCTGGCGCCCCAAGATTCCATATTTCAACAAATGACTCACTCCCCTGAATCAGTGATGGGGAAAGTAAGCACACTCAGACTCTGACCTCTGGTAAACAGAGGTCTGTGGAGCACGGATTGTGGGCAGTAAGTGACTAAAGACTGAACACCAGCCAGTTCCTTCATTTGTTCAGAGACCTCCTCCTTCTACTTCCCCCCTTATGGGGACAAACCGCCCCGCAGATTCTTCTGGGGCTTCGCTGTAAATGTTCACGTCTTTTCAGTGACGCCCGCCCCTTCAGGGGGTTAGTGGTCTGGATCCTAAGCATTGCCTTCAGTCTCTCAGTAGATGCAGCAACGTATGAAACACAATTACGTGCTTGTCGATCTTAGGTTCTTCCAGCTTGCTAAGCTCTCTTGTTCGTTCTCATCATTTGTATGTAGACATTGAACTATTTTTAACAGGGTTTTTTTGTTTTTTTTTTTTTTTTTTTTTTGATTTAACAAATATCACAGGGGTGCCTGGCTGGTTCAGTTGGACGAGCATGTGACCCTTGATCTTGGGGTGGTGAGTTCCAGCCCCCACGTTGGGTGTGGAACCTACTTAAAAAATTAAAAAGGGGGTTGTGGGAGGGGGGATGGGCTAAACGGGTAAGGGGCACTAAGGAATCTACTCCTGAAATCATTGTTGCACTACATGCTAACTAATTTGGATGTAAATTTTAAAAAATAAAAAATAAAATAAGTAAAAATTTAAAAAAATTTGTAAAGGATCCTAGGTTGGGGTGCCTGGCTGGCTCGGTTGGTGGAGCTCGGTTGATCAGAGCATTAAATAAATGTTCTCAAACCCACAAGTCCTCAGAAGTCTTAATACAAGAAAACCCAAACTGAAAACACATTACACTTTCCCTTTGGTTCTGATATTCTTTTTTTTCTTCTTAAAGCTTTTTTTTTTTAAGTTTATTTATTTATTTTGAGGGAGAGCAGGAGAGGGGCAGAGAGAGAATCCCAAGCAGGCTCTCCGTCCAGCAGTGCTGAGCCTGATGCGGGGATCAAACTCACGAACCAGGAGATCGTGACCTGAGCCAAAACCAAGAGTCAGACACTTAACTGACTGAGTCACCCAGGCACCCTGGTTTTGATATTCTTAAAATTTACTATACTGTATTGGTGTGTGAGGTTTCCCTGGTCTTTTTTCTTGCGCTTGTGGGCCCTTTCAGCTGGAATGGTTTACCTCTCTTCAATTCAATTTTATCTCCACTATTTTTGTCCACATATTTTCTCCTCTTTTTATTTCCAATAACACAACAGACCTGAGTTTGGTTCCTGGCTCTGTCTGTTACTACATGAGTAATCTTGGGCCTCCCACCTCAGTCTACCATGTCTGTAAAATGGGAATAATAAGTATCATTCATACTGTGTGTGTGTGTGTGTGTGTGTGAATTAAATGTAATTAGTAAGCCTTCAGTATGGCCTAATCAGTCATAGCGTTACAGAATTTTAAATGGATGCGTGAAGGGCACCTGGGTAGCTCAGTCGGGTAGGTGTCTGTTGACTTCAGGTCAGGTCAGGTCAAGTCATGACCTCACGGTTCATGAGTTTGAGCCCAGCATCGGGCTCCACACTATCAGCTCGGGGTTCTCTCTCTCACTCCCTCTGGCCCTCCCTGCTCTCTCTCTCTCTCTCTCTCTCTCTCAAAATAAATAAGTAAACTTAAAAAAATAAATGGATGAGTGAATCATTGGGTTCGTAGGAAATGTGTGTGAATAGGAGGATGAATGGACAAATGTCCCATTAGCCCAACCTCCCTTGAGGGGGACCACGTCTGCCTCATTCCTTCTCCGACTCTCTCGTTTCTCTTTCACTCAGGGTTCCAGGAAGAAGCCCTGGCCAGACAGCCCTCCAGATCAAACGACCCCTGCCGGGGATGCCCCTCCCTCGGGGGAGCAGCAGGAGCTCCATTACGCCTCCTTCAGCTTTCACGGGATAAAGATGAGGGAACCTCAGGACCAGGAGGCCACCAGCACCAGTGAGTACTCGGAGATCAGGACGAGCAAGTGAGGGCCGCCTGGAGCCAGGAATCCCAGCCCCTGCGGGGAGAGGAGAAGTCAGGCGCCAACTGATGAAGTGCGTGGAGCCCTGTGGCGATATAAAGGAGCAGGACTGTCCGGGTGTCCCCGGGTAGAGCAGATTTGGGCTCAAACGTAGCCTGTCAAGCAAGGTGCTTCATCTCTGCGTGCTTCAGTGTCCCGTTCCGTAAATCAGAGATCATGCCTTCTGCCTCAAAGGTGGTTGTGCACAGTAAAGAAATTAACACAGAGAAATCAGCCAACAGAGGTCCTATCGCACCATGGGGCTCAGTGCCTACTGATCTGTCTTCTTTGGACAGAAAGGTCCTGCTGGAAAGTGACCCTGGGGCTGAGGGTGACCGCCCCGGCACACAGTAGCAACCGGCTGGTGTCATTCTCCTTCAAAGCCTCCCCAGGGAAAGACCAGCCCCTCAGCCTGGATTTTGGTTTCACGATACAGCATCTTATCATCTCTGTGGGGTCTTCTCTGCGTCCCACTTGTATCTGTCCATTCTTCCAGCACATTCCATCACCTCCTGACCTCCAGTCCCTTCCCTGTCTCATTTATGGGCCCCCACAGGGATCCGTCCAACAGCCAGAGAGCTGACCCTGAGTCTCCTCCACAAACCCATTCAAGGCTCCCTAGGCTTAGACAATACATCACAAACATCTGCCCCCACCCCTGGCATTTGAAGTCCACCAACCCCCCCCACCCCCTGCTATCTACTGTTGGAAAAGAAACAATGGGCCCCGAGTGGAGGCACTTGCCCCCACAACAGCAAACCCAAGACTCACTGTGATTTCAACCTCTCCCAGAAATGTGACCTTTAAACAGTCGGTCTGAAATTTCCTGATCAGCACTGGTGAGGTCACCTGCAGGGTAAGATCTTCCCCCAAAAAGATGGCCCAATCTGGGGGGAAAAATCCTTCCTTTGTTTTGAGAATACTTCCTCATGCCACCCTCCTGCCTTTAAACACCTTCTGCTACTTACAACTCCTCAGGGCACCCATCTCCTTACCGGAAGGGACACTGCCAAACTCATGAGCCTTTGAATAGAGCCAATTACATGCCCAGATTTCCTCGGTTGAGTTTTTTTTTTTTTTTTAAAATTTTTTTTTATTTTTGAGAGAGTGTGCGAGTGAGGGAGGGGCAGAGGATTCAAAGCGGGCTCTACACTGAGAGCCAGATGCGGGGCTCGACCTGTGAGATGATGACCTGAGCTGAAGTCAAGAGTTGGATGCTTAACCAACTGAGCCACCCAGGTGCCTTCAACAAGCTTTTCTGATCCCAACTGCCTGACACTATGCTTTTGATTGCCGTACAAAAGAAAAGTTTTTCTAGAAGGAGGCGAGCAAGAAAGTTATCAGCTACAGGAAAGGATTGTTTCAGGCAAGACTGCTCTCCTCCTGTGTGTGGGGTAAAGATAAGGGGTCTTCTTGTGCAGAGGACCTCGTCTTCCTTTAGGGGATGGAGAGGTCCTTGTGGCCAACTCATTGGCACTGATTGTCAATAGCCAAAGTATAGAAAGAGCCCAAATGTCCATTGATGGATAAATGGATAAAGAATATATATATATTCTATATATATATTCTATATATATATAATATATTTAATATATAGAATATAAAAATATATATATATATATATATATATATATATTGCATGTGTGTATATACACACACACACACACACACAATGGAGTATTACTTGGCAATCAAAAGGAATGAAATCTTGCCATTTGCAACAATGTGAATGGAACTAGAGGGTATTATGCTAAGTGAAATTAGTCAAAAAAAGACAAATACCATATGACTTCACTCACATAAAGAAAAGATATAAAATAGATGAACATAAGGGAAGGGAAACAAAAATAATACAAAAATGGGAAGGGCGACAAAACATAAGAGACTCTTAAATACAGAGAACAAACCGAGGGTTGCTGGAGGGGTTGTGGGAGGGCAGATGGGCTAAATTGGCAAGGGGGCATTAAGGAAGACACTTGTTGGGATGAGCACTGGGTGTTATATGTAGGGGATGAATCACAGGATTCTACTCCTGATATTATTAGTGCACTATATGCTAACTAATTTGGATGTAAATTAAAAAAAAATAAATGATTAAAAAAATTCCTGACTATAAAATAGTTCAATGTCTACATACAAATGATGAGAACGAACAAGAGAGCTTAGCAAGCTGGAAGAACCTAAGATCGACAAGCACGTAATTGTGTTTCATACGTTGCTGCATCTACTGAGAGACTGAAGGCAATGCTTAGGATCCAGACCACTAACCCCCTGAAGGGGCGGGCGTCACTGAAAAGACGTGAACATTTACAGCGAAGCCCCAGAAGAATTCTGCAGGGCGGCTTGGCCCCATAAGGGGGAAAGTAGAAGGAGGAGCTCTCTGAACAAATGAGGTTAAGACTGTATTTCTGGGAGAGAGCAAGGACTTTAATCATCTCCACTTTGACCTTGGTCTGTACTTTCTAATTAAGTTCTTCTTTCCAGCGTATTTCTTCACTCAGGCAAAAGACCTTGCAGGCAAAGCATCCCTCGTTGGGAACTGAAACTACTCCCTCAAGCAATAAAAAGACTGCCCTGGGCCAGCAAGACCCAGCATGACTAATCCCAAGACCGTGATCAACCTGACCTTTACTGCCCAGCCACATGTCCCCACTGCCCTTCATCCCACATTTTCCTTATATAAACCTATGAATATTTTCGGCACTCAGGAGACAGAGTGAGACGTTAGTCCTGCGTCTTCCCCGGGGTTGGCCTCACTGGAGTAAATCCCTTTCTTGTCCACCTCCGCTTATGTCTCTGCCTTCAGATTTTGTCAGCAGCATGTGGCCAACCCAGTCTGTTTGGGATCCTCGGAGCAGGTGCACTTGTGACTCTGTGCCTTGGTTATATGAGGTTGAAACTGAAGTTAGGTATGTGTTAACTTAAGTGACGCCATTTTGGGCCTGTGGGTTTTCTTTTTCTATTTTGTCTTTTCTTTTCTTTTCCTTTCCTTTATATTTTATTTTACTTTAGTTTTTAGTTTAATTCCAGTATAGTTAACATACAATGTTATATTAATTTCAGCCGGTACAATGTGGTGACTCAACAGTTCTATATCTTAGTGCTCATCATGAGGATAAGTGTGACTCTTAATCCCCATCACCTGTTTCCCCCATCTCCCCCACCTCCCCTCTGGTAACCATCTGTTCGTTCTCTAGAGTTAAAAGTCTGTTTTTCAATTTGTCTCTTTTCTTCTTTGTTCATTTGTTTTGTTTCTTAAATTCCACACACGAGTGAAATCATATGGTATTTGTCTTTCTCTGGCTGACTTCGCTTAGCTTTATTCCGTCTAGATCCATCCATGTTGTTGTAAATGACAAGATTTCATTCTTGTTTATGGCTGAGCACTATTCCATTGTGCATGTATACCACGTCTTTCTTACCCACGCATCTCTGGATGAACACTTCTCTCTTCCATAATTTGCCTATTGTAAATAATGTTGCAATAAACATCGAGGTGTGTATATCTTTTGGAATTAGTGGTTTTTGTATTCTTTGGGTAAATACTCAGTAGAATTACTGGATCATATGGTAGTTCTATTTTTAATTTTTTTAAGGAACCTACGTACTGTCTTCTCACCGTGGCTGTGCCAGTTTGCTTTCCCACCAACAGCTCATGAGGGTTCCTTTTTCTCCACAGCCTCACCAACATTTGTTGTTTCTTGTGTTTTTGTTTTTTGTTTTTTTTTGTTTTTTTTTTTTGAGAGAGAGAGAGAGAGAGAGAATGACAATGCAAGTGGGGGATGGGCAGAGAGAGAGGGAAAGAGAGAATCCCAAGCAGGCTGCATGCCTAGTGTCGAACCCGACATGGGGCTCGATCTCATGACAATGAGATCATGACCTGAGCCAAAATCAAGAGTTGGACACTTAAGTAACTGAGCTACCCAGGCACCCCTGTTTTTTTTTCTGACGTTTATCTTGTTTTAGATAATCTCTACACCAAACGTGGGGCTCAAATTCAAGACACTGGGATCTATAGTCACATGCTCTTATGACTGAGCCAACCAGGCACCCCTCTTGCTTTTGATTTTAGCCATTCTGACAGGTGTAAGATGATGTGTGTGGGTTTTTAAAAAAGATTTTAAAGTAATCCCTACACCCAACACGAAGCTTGAACTCACAACCCCAAGATCAAGAACCTCATGCTCCACCAACCGAGCCAGTCAGGTGCCTGGTTTTTGTTTTGTTTTAAATCTCTGCACATTCTTCCCCATTATGCCCGGCTTCCTCCCCAGTTCCCTGCTCCGTCATAGCTGACTTAACATTCTCAAAAACTACCCTCTCTATAGGTCGCACTGAGATCTTAATTCTTAGTGGAGGCCTGACAAGCTTGGTAGCTTCTCTAAAATATGAAGTTCACAGGAGAACTTCCTCTTCTAGGGACATTCCACTGGCAAATGCTAAGTGAAATCCACTCTGTCACTAATAGCGAGCATGTTGCATGTCCGCTAGGGCAGAGTCTCCCGAAATTGTTAGAAGATGACATGGGGACTGGTCCTTGGAGACACGATCTTGATACCTTGAGATTCCCCCCACCCCATGGTGGTCTCTCCTTCTGCTGTCTGCTGTCACCATCAGTCCCGGACTATTGTCTGATGGTCTCCATCCCTTATAATTAAAACACCTTCCCAGTGTGCATCATCTGCTTTCCCGGGACCAGGGTACAGTGGGTTCAGGAGTCACTATCTATGGTGTCAGGTTTGTGTGGATCATAACCCCAGCCCCCAAACGCACAGTGATCTCGCAGTGGCTGCGAAGGCTGCTTATCACATCAAGTCTCAGTTTCCCACTGGATGAGGAGAATTGTTAGCCAGTCTTCTCTAGGATTGGTTGTGAGGGTTCAACGGGGCAATATGTAGAAAGGTACAACCCTGAGTCAGCACGTGAGGACCTCCAGTGAATCTCCATCTCTTTCCTAATCCTCTGCTCGGAGGGAGATCCGGGCACAGGGTTGCTTCTTAAAGTGTGGCCCAAGGGCCAGCAGCATGACATAACCTGGAACCCCAGGGAAGATCTTGTCCCTCCCTGTCCCTCCGCCAGCAGACACCACACGGTGAAAAGCAAGGTGAAAAGGCAACAAGAGGGTTGAGGGGAAAAGCACAGAGATGAGCCCAGTCCACTCCACCCCTTCTCCTGGCTTCTCCTTCCTAAGAAGGCCCCGGACTTTCAGAAATTGCTGCGACCTAGGTGCCCTGCTAGCCTAGAGCTCGGGACCTTGCACCTATGGCTTGGGGTCCTTGGCAGAGTTGGGGTTTCCTGAACTCACCCAGCTTTGCTCCAGAACCATGGACAGCACCAACCCTTGGGCTGGGAGGTCCCCAGGTCTGGCAGGATGGGCGGAGCGCCCCCTGGAGGTAGTTCCCTGACTTGCCTCAGATGCAGAGATCAGAAGTCAGGGGATGGACTGGCGTGATATTCTGTCCCAGGGGACAGAGATGCTGGCCAGAGCACGTCCAAGCTTCTCCTTAGTCACCCTCTGAAAATCCACTCATCCTGAGGACTCGGCTTCAGAGACACAGTGCATTTCTCACACAACACTGGATGCCTTGCCCCTCAGGGCTGACTCTGCCCTCACCCTGTCCAGAAAACCCTCCCTCTCCTCACTTTCCAGCGGGTTCATCTTTGCTGTTGCACTTTTTAAAGTTTATTTATTTTTGAGAAGGGAGGGAGGGGCAGAGAAAAGGAGGCAGAGAGAGAATCCCAAGCAGGCCCTGAGCTGTCAGCACAGAGCCTGATGTGGGGCTTGAACTCACAGTGAGATCATGACCTGAGTTGAAATCAAGAGTCGGCCGCTTAACCGACTGAGTCACCCAGGCGCTCCCGGAGTCGGGAATCTTCTTAATCCGCTCTGGGATTGAGTGTGTTTGAAGCTGGGTTCTGGTGTTTTTGTGGATGGGCCTACTTCCGGGTGACCCTTACTTCAAATTTGTAACCCTACTTGGGTCCTAACGGGTGCTTACTGGGCCTCTACTTTTTAGGAGACCCTGAACTTCAGACTGTGTTCATCCTGTTTCATG